GACCTACACCTTGTATTTCTACTACTATGGTCACAACTTGCACTGTCCCCTCCTGCCATTTTTCTCTTCTGTGGAGAACAAAAAGTTTTTTTTTTTTTTTTTAAACCGTGTTTCTCAGAAAAAAGAAAGAAAGAAAGAAAGAAAGAAAGAAAGAAAGAAAGAAAGAAACTGCAAAGAGAAAGCTGTGAGAGAACAGAAGACTGAACAGTTTACGCACTTAGCAGTTACGTCTGCTGAGAAAGTCATTTACAAGTCACAAATCGCTGGTTTTCCTCTCCAGCATTTTCTCTCTAGCATTGGAATGTATGGGAAACAAAGCTCCTGTTCACACATTCTCACCTGCTATTCTTCCCAAATTTAGACCTGTGGATTAAATTCATTTGGTCTACAGAAGAACTGTTGAGGGTCCACTCAACATTAGGGTATCTCTGGGGCTGCTTGGGGAGGTCTTGTGGAGGGAGAGTCAAGTGCTGACAAGTCAGAGTAGGTGGAAAGTAGATGTAGCGAGCAGGAGAACAGACTGCTGACTCACTTTCCTTCCCCCTGAGCACCCTGGAAGGAGGAGCCAATTACTGCTCCTAGCTGCTCCCTTTCTGCAAAAAAGGAGACAAGGCTCAGCAGGCCTTAGTGCAAACAAGAATGCAATCCAAGAGAACACGATGTCTGAAGAGATAAACAAAGAACACTCCCAAACCCAGAGAGCTACTGTCCTTGGCACCATGGGCCAAAGGCAGCTTTGAATTTGGTGGCAGCTGCACCAGAAAAAAAACTTTTTTTTTTTTAAACTGAGATAGGCAAATTACCTAGAGGCCAGAAGAGGACATTCGATTTCGTGGAGATGGAACTACAGACAGTTAGGGGCACAACAGACTATAATAATGCTTCAGGCTGTAAAGCTAACTGCTAAGGTCATCTTAAAGCATGAATGTGTCATCAGTGGTTTAATGAGTCTACTCAAATGATATTCATTTAGAAACAATCAAAATATTTGTCAAAGCTATTTATCCATCCATTCATTCATTTATTTATTTGTTTTGGGGACAGGGTCTCATTATGTAGCCCTGGCTGTCCTACAATTCCACACAGAGACAAGGCCGACCTCAAGACTCACAGAGATCTATCTGTCTCTGTCCTTGTCCTTCGGCCTCTCTGCCTCCATAGTGTTGGGATCATTAAGGCATGTGACACCACACTCACACTGTCAAAGCTGTCTATTGTGTTTAGTATCTTCCACAGTATGGGTACAGTAAGTTGAGTGGCACACAGGCTCACGAAGAAAAGCATTTCTGATGATTTCTGGTCTTCGTTCTAGAAAATTAGTGTTACTGTAAAAAGAATTATTTTGTATTAATTTGACTGGTCTTCAAACAACATGTGGCAAAACTACTCTTAACAGTAAACTTTAAAATTCTGAATGTGCCTTCAGTGAAAGTTATCTAAAACAGTTTCTAAAAGGATGTAATTTTAAAAATAAAAAGGGAAAGCAATTTTTAAAATAAATAAAGATATTAAAACTTACCTTTTATTTGGATATTTGAAGTGTTTTGCATAGAAAAATTTCTCCAGTTTTCTTACCCAACAAAGTGACTTCCTATTTATGCTTCAGGAACATGCCCTGTAAAGACTCAGAGAGCACACAACCAAAGCTAAGCTCAATTTGGAGAGTCCTTGAAGGTCAGAACTAATTGAGTTAATGAGCAGTTTCCTTGTCCAAGATCACAGGAAGTTTATTAGGTATAAAATAAAAAATCCAATCTTTGCAAGTCATTAGAAGACATCCTAATATAAGAGAAGGCCTAGTCAACCAGTAGAACACAGGAATGTAAGGCAAGTTCCAATTACTCTTTCAATTTCTTAAAGCTGTGTGTGTGTGTATGCATGTGTATCTGTGTGTGTGTATGCATCTGTCTGTGTGTGCATGTGTATTATTGCAGAAGCTGTAACAGGAAGCCACTCTTTTTCTACTTTTTTTTTAAAATTCTGATACAATTATTGTACAGAAAGTTTCTGGATTATCAAGCTCCAAAAGAAAAAAAATCTCAATTTATTAAGTATATCTCAACTGCATCTATACAGGTTATAGTAGAGCGACAACACTCAGCAAATGTAAAAGTTTGGCAAGAATTTGGTAAGATTTATGTCAACAGAAATGTAACTTTACTGATTTGCTAGACCTATTAGACCAGTGGTTCTCACCCTTTCTAACACTGAGACCCTTTATCACAGTGGTCCTCAGTCTCCCTCAGTAACCCTTTAATGCAGTAAGTTCCTCATGTTGTTGTAACCCCAATTATTTTTGTTACTTCATAACTGTAATTTTGCTGTTATTATGAACCTCAACATAAATACCTGTTTTCTGATGATCTTAAGCGACCCGTGTGAAAGGGTCTTTCAACTCCCAAAGAACTGCTGTCTTAAATGACTGTAAGTGCATCAGATTATATCTTCCCATTGAATTTTCTGTTCATTATGCATTATGTTCTAGCAGAAAGCACTCATTTCTACATAAATAAAACAAACCACCCTTCAAACAATAATTATACAATGTTGTATCTAGCTTAGAGCATGATTCCACAAGTTGCTAGATGCCCAAGTTTAGGAAACAAAATTTATATTACATAGGTCTTGACTGGCATGTGAAAAACAGTATGTGTATTAATAATAATAGCTATCCCTACTGAACAAACTGCAGCAGTGTACATACAAAGCATATGCTTTTTTGTCAAGAGGAAACCTTAACTGAGAAGATACCTCTCTCAGATTGTCTGCAAGTAAGGCCCTGGGGGATTTTCTTAATTGGTGATTGATAGGGAAGGGCCCAGGCCATTATGGGTGGTGCCATCCTTGGGCTGGTGGTCCTGGGCTCAGAAAGTAGGCTGAGCTACAAGGAACAAGAGAATAAGCAGCACCCCTCCCTTTATGGTCTCTGCATCAGATTCAGCCTCCCAGTTCCTACCCTACTTGAGTTTCTACCCTACTTTGACTTCCTGCCCTTGAGTCCCACTTTTGATGATAAACTGTAATATGAAAGATTAAGTAAAATAAGGCCTCCCTTCCCCAAGCTGCTTTTGGTCAAGGTGTTTCATCACAGCATTAGAAACTCTAAGGCAGCTACCAAGCTCTATGTCTGACTTAACACTCTTCTGACACTATGTAAAACTTTGGATGAACTGTTAAATTTACCAGCCTACTAGCTTCCACCAAAAAAAACAAAACAAAACAAAAAACTAAGGATGTTGTAAGATTCTCCCAATCTACTAAGCCCAATGCCTCTCACCAATATATATAGTTAATACCAAATTATATAGCCATTCTAAAGTGGAGTACAATGTTCAAATCCACATTAATGGGGCAACACCACTCATATTTGCTCAGAATAAACTTCCTATTGTTCCTTGGAAGCAAAAGCAGTGTTTATGTCATCACAATTAATGTTGTAAGTAATTTTCAAGGTTTATATGTGAGCAATGAAAGACTGCTGTGCAGATGCAAGAACCCCCAATACAGGCAGGAGAGTTAGCAGTTCTGTGTCCTCTAGCTCACAAGTTGATCGTTATTTCCAGCAAAAGGTACACACAGAGATACACATAAATATAAAGAGAAAAGAAAGTCAAAAGATTTCACAGAACAACAATACTGGAGTTCTGCAAATTACTCTAAGCATAAAGAATACACAAAACTTACAGGAAAGTGCACAGATTTAGAATGTGCTCAGACACAAAGACAGGAGTAGTCTCTGTTATGATAAAGTGCAAGAGGAACCTTGTCAGATTCCATGGCAGGTGAAAGTGACCGAGGAAGCGAACAAACATGCTAGGCAGCCAGAGCTTAGTGAGAAGTTTTATTAGAAAGAGAAGCGGGGGAAGGAAAGAGAAAAGAGGTGAAGAGACACAGAGATAGAAGGCAGAAGAGGAGGAGACAGGAAAAGTCCTGTCCTAGGGGAACAGAGGGAAGATAGGGAAAGAGTGTAAGTGGGCGGGGGTCTTTCTTTTAAAGGGGTCCATTACACCCTTGCGTGCAGATCATGCAACCATGGACCCTGGGCTGACCATAGTACTGTCTGAGTGCATTCTGACAGGTGACAGGGACAGGCCAGCATAATGCCTGAATCCTTACAGTCTCTACTTTCCATCCTCTTACCTACCTGCCTTAAGGTCACAAACTTTTTTATGGCACATGAATTCTTTGTTGTTGAATTACGATGACAATAGCAATAATATGAGACTGTCAAAAAGTTATTATTGACATTTTGAAACTGCTCTCTTGAACTTTGAAATCAACTGCAGCACAAAGGAAAAGCTATTACCCATTACTTCTCTGTGTGTATAAACCAAAATAGAGTACTGTAACATTTCTGAAAAGTAGGTCCAAAAGGATAACCACAAAGGGGAAAATATGATCCGGACACAAGGGAGGGCTCAGAGGTTATAAGTACTGGCTGTTCTTCCAGAGGACCCAGGTTTGATTCCCAGCAGCTACATGATGGCTCACGACCATCTGCAATTCCAGTTCTAGGAGATCTGACACCCTATTCTGGCCTCTGCAGGCACCAAGCACACACATGTTGTACAGATAGGCAAACACCCAAACACATATAAAATAAAATTAAAAATATATATATTTTTACTCTAATAGTTTTCTCTCTCTTCGATTAAAACTACTCATTGAAGGTCATACTGACAGCACCAACTGCCTACAGTATCTTGGTTTTCTTTTCAATTCACTGTCAAATAAAAGCCACAAAAAGTGGTATGGAAAGGTCTTTTTGTTTGTTGTTTACTAAACAACAAAACACTTTTTGTTAAAAATAACTTAATGATGGGTATAGTACCTTGATGTGGGGGAAGAAATCGATAGTCAGTGGTTAAGAGCACTGGTTGCTCTTCCAGAGGTTGAGTTCACAACCATCTGTAATGAGATCTGGTGCCCTCTTCTGGCCTACAGGGACACATGCAGACAGAGCGCTGTATACATAATAAATCTTTAAAAACAGTAATGTCCTAATACTATGACTATTTTTACATATGATGTGTGGGTATACAGGAGGCAAATGGGAAATAAGCTGTAAATAAGAATGGGAACAACCTAATGCAAAGGAGAAACTGGACTTTAAATCAAAAGGAGTCTAGCATAATTCTACCCAGAAGCAAAAGGTACAAAAGATATGGCGACATGTTTCAAAGAGAGCCTACAGCAGGAGCATGCTACTTCATTCCAGGTAATTGGGGATTAGAGGAGTGGTTCTCAACCTGTGGGTTGCAACCCCTTGACAAAACTCTATCTCAAAAAATGTTCATATTACGGTTCATAGCAGTACCAAAATCATAGTTACAAAGTAGTGAAATAATTTTACAGTTGGGGGTCACCACAACCTGAGGAATTTATTAAAGGGTCACAGCATTAGGAAGGTTCAGAACCACTGGATTAGACAAAGGAAAAATACACTATTTCCTACATTAGTGGCAACTTGTAGTTACTGTTTAGCAGACAGCACTGAAAATACTAAGGGAGGCAAAAGGCTTTGCTTCCTGGTTAGGGCAGCAGACTTGGCAGGCGTTTCAAACCAAGGCTCCCACAATGCACCAAAGCCCAC